TTAATAGAAGAGTTTGCCCCCGCGCTAATATCTAAAAGTCGGCGCCTCTGAGTGAACGTATTTTTGATATTTCGTAGTTGTGTATGAATACGACAATGGATGCAAATGCGATATCTTCTTAAAGTTTAAAATATTAATTATATTAAATTCTATTAGAATAGACAGTGGCTTATTTAGGAGGGGTTCCCCCATCTCCCGAAATTAATTTCTAAATACGCCACTGATTCTAGGCTCAGATAATTCGAACTTTTCTTTTCCCAATGGAAGTAAAAATCATCTATTTGGCTTTGGCAACGTCATCTAGCAACGATAGTTTGCTACGTCCGTTCATCAAAGTTCATAACGAAGCCGGTTGAAGACGCTGCAGTTATAGTCCAGTCGCTTCAACGAAGTAHAAAAAATGAAAAGAGCAATAGCGTTCAATCTCGTGTAGAATTTTTGAAGGTATGCATACCATTAAATAATAAACATTAATACATTATTAGTGTTAAGCGACATCTCAAAAGTTGCCCGAGAGCCGGCAATYTAAATTTCAAGGTAGATGGCTAATGTCCTCCTTTATCCAAACTTAAATCCGTAAATTTAATTATGATTATTATTAATGGAATTGAGAGGACGATACCGTACATACTATATTGCCTATATTATAATAACTCATTATCTGTGTTTGTTAACTTTTAACGAGTTTTAAGTACCTATGTATAAGTAGCCAGTATGCATGCATGTAAATTTTTGCTGCAATTTAGTAATATTCACAGGTAACTCTTTAAAAATGTGTTAAGGTATTTAGGTATTGTTCAATGTTCAATATTCTAATACTATTCTTTGCAATTAATTTAAATAATAGGTAAGTTCATTCACTTTTTTATAATACGTTTATTGCTTGTCAAACGAAAATTTCACATGAGGGTGTTACAATTTTATTATTATAATGAATATTTAGTGTGCAAAAAATGCTTAGTTACTAAACTGAAATGTATATATCATAATAAATTTTGTTTGGCAGACTCGTACCCCTTAAAAAATTTCAAGTACCCCCAAATGTACGTGTACGGCGTACCACAGTTTGAGAACTCCTAGTGTAGACGATAGACGTGTAGTATCTATCTATAACAGGTAAATTCCCCCTCCCATATTTAATATTGTAATTTTTAAGTCTTAGTTTAGTATATTTGAGTAAGAAATATTTTAATATGATTTTTTAATTATTATATTTAGAACGAATCTACGAAAATCTCTGGGAAAAAGAGTCCCGCGAAAAATAGTTGATTTATTTATATATTATATATATTTTTTATTTATAAGTTAATTATACGTTTATGAACACAACATTAWACTTTTATATGATATATTGATATATAAAATAGAAGAAGATGGGATCTGGGAGTAAAAAAAGATATAGGAATGATAAAACATTGCATTTTTTAGTTTGACAAATCATATTTCAATTCATTTAGTCGTATTCAGTGGACTTATATTGGAAAGCATATTAGACTTCGTACAAAACATTGGCATTTAATTTATAATTAATATATTGGTCATTATATCGCAAAAAATTATTATGTCATAATATTTTTATTTTTATTGTACTGAATATGTATAATTAATAAACCGGACATTTAGGTAGAATCCCTATTGCCCCTCTTCTCAACTTGGTCGAATTTTGGGGTCCCCCGCCTATAAACACGCCACTAGTTATACTTTACGACTTACTGCTTACACAGTTAATAGTTATACCTACACGGCTACACGCATATAGCTATGTCAATGTGTCGAGTTATTAGTACAATTCCTGAAATTACGTTTAGCATAATGTAATAAGTATTGCAATAATAATGGACATTGCACTATTACAGTTAAATAAGAGGTGGGTGGTTTGTACCACCACTGCCACAGTGTCACATAATAACAATATAACATCTATTCATATTTCATTCTATACTGTGGTTTTGTGTTTGATTACGTTCGTGAATTCGTGATCGGGACTTTGGCCTTTACGTAATATATGCGACCAAGACAACATTACCGTCGCCACTCTTCTACATGTTAAATAATATTATTATTATTACTATTATGTCGATGAACAGCTGATCAGGATTCCCTTCCATCGTCGTTGTGTTATAATGTTATACGTCTCAACGTCTGGACTTGTTATTTATTTTTTATTTCACCAGTTGACCATGTTATCATCATTATCAGAACTACCAATTTGTAACTGCGCGACGACATAAAGAATAGAGTGTCAGACGACGAACGAAAAAGCTAGGACGGGAAAAAAGTAGTATTAAATTGATGATCGAAACAAATAAATAATTAATTGATATTATCGTAGTTATTACGTTAAAAAATTAACAATCTTCGTCGTATTTTTCGTGATATTGTTATTATTATTTGTTGCTATCACATCGTCATTATTAATAATTTTTCTTTGTTTTCGTTCTCATACCGTCGTCGGAACTGTCGCGTTTTGTTTCTGTGCGCAATTCCAAGTGAATTTCTGTCAATCGCTGAGACTTGAAGTGTGCCATCAGTAGTACACGTTGGCGGTTAAATTTTGGTGCTGCAATCGATGTCGAATGTTCCGGACGTCGTCGTCCGCGTGACGTACGCGGTGGTCGTTCGCTCATAGTACAACGCGCGCTTCAGAGTCCAAAAACTCAAAGCCCTATAATCCGTGTTCGTCAACGTCGTCCTGCAGCGGAGTTCACGTGAACGTTCGTTGCATGCGATATGGGAGCGAAGGCCAGCACGGCCAACGGCGATGACGGCGGCGCCGGTCACGGAGACCACCGGTCGTTCTCTTCCGGCAACGGATCAGATTCTGTGCAGACAGCCAGCAACCCTGGTTTCAGCATTCTACGGTCTCTACCCAGCGCTGTAGCCAATGACAGACAGCGTGCTAGGTCTCTATCTGGTGTGCCCAATGGTCACGATAACAACAGCAACTCGACGAGCCCGCGGTTTGATATCACAGAAGTCTTGGAAGCTGACAGCAGCTCAAACGACGACCAGAACTTGGACAGTCCTACAGTCACTGCTAATATCAGTCTTGGACGTGTTTATTCGGCTCACTCATTACCTGCACATATTTGGCCATTTAACGGTATGTGTGTTTACTTTCTTTATTTACAATGATCAATTTAATTTTGAAGAATAGTACCTATTAAAATGACAAAATGTGTATAGTAATATGGTATGGTGGATGCTTACACTTAGAAACTTTGGCATACTGAAATTATTTTGAGTAATTTTGTAGGTAGGTACCTTACTACTTGCTTGATGATGCAACACGATAGGCATGTAATTATACATTATAAAAAAACTTTTCATTTTATTGCACTTACATTCTAATAAAACCAATATAGGTGGCCTATTACAAATATCCATATTATTAAAGTCAAACAGAGCGAAAAAGCCATTATGAGACTGGCATCACAGGAGTAACTAGCTGAAACATTTTGGGGACAGAATTCCCTCAATACATTTTTTTAAAGTGTTACTTGATGGAGCTTTGTCCCCTTCTTTTCATCGTCTCTTTTAATCATACAAAATAATTAATTTTATCCTCGTTTTATTTTATTTCATTATTATTTATTACCAATGAAAGTGCTCACAAATTGTTTTATTAACTAAATTTTTTAAAAAGAATTAACTATTTAGGTATATAATATACTTTTAACTTGGGCTGAATATGGCCTGTAATTAGAGTTGTCCGCAGTGAAATAGATCAATATAGAATTTGACAAAAACGGAAATTTTAGATACTAAAAAATTTAAAATGCAATGAACAGCCGTTTTATAGCTCTTATGAGGTTGGTATGAGCTTGAAATAAAAACTATACCAATGAACATTTTTAACAGTTTTAATCTAAATACTATTGAATAAAATATGTTACTAATTCTAATAGTCTAATAATTCAACAATTAAATTACTGATATACTCAAATAAGGTTACCTATGGTATCTTCTGAAATTAACTTAAGTTATTAAAGTGGTACTTTTCCATTATCTTGAATCCTACCCATTCTATGACAACAAGTTTGATACAATTTCAGTATTTCAACTACCACTCGACTTAACTATCAGTTTTGTTCAAGAAAGATTAATTGTTTTTTCGATAAATGTTTCCTCAGGACTACTGTTAATTCTCTTGTGGTATTATATTTTCTTTTTGAAAACATAATATTGAATGTGGGACCCACATTTTTATATTCTTATTTTCAGTAGTGCCAAAGTCTAAAATTTTACCTATGACATTAGACACCACCACATACAATTTTGACTCCTACCTTTTTCTTATAATTACCTTACTATACACAAAGTATAGTTTCTATGTGATATTATCGACTTTTAGTTCACAATAACTGTAATATCTAATACATTAAATTATGATAATATATTTACTATTTAGAATCACAAAAGTAACCCTCTTACCTACTAAAATCATCTATGACAATTGTCATAGGCAAATATATATTTTGGCACCACTGCTTATTTTTGCCACAGCTACTSTAATTATTCTAATGTATTACTGTGACATGATTCATATTCAAATATGAATCATACAATTTAATCAACTTCTGCAATCCAACAGGCAACAATATAAAAAACCTATTACAGTTAAAAAAGACAATTCACTATTTTAGGCCAGATAGTTTTGGCTTCAGGTGGACGTAGTCAAGATAACAAAATTGAGATTGGCTTTATTCAAGATTATAAAAAAGTTATTATAGTACAATAACATTTTAGTGTCAAACTAAACAGAAAACACATAGGTTTATATTCAGTATTTAATGCTTTTAATTTTTTTTTTTAATAATTTATAAAATGTAAAGCTACATACAAATCCCAATACAAATTAAAGTTATGGTGTTTAATTATCATTGGTTATAATTTTTGTTATGGTATTGATTATTAATACTTGGAAGTAATCTATTACTATTGATGGTTTAATAATGCACAATATCATTTRCACGTTAAATGCCATGCGGCTGGCGGGTGGTTACACAATATTCCATAATCGTATGCCAAGTATATTTTTCAGTGTCACTCCAAATTTGTATATTATAATTGAACTATGTATTTGAAAAAAGTTTAAAAATATAAAAAAAAAATTTTATGATTCCCACCACGCCACTGTACTTTTTTTAGTGCATTATTGTAGTGCCATGGATTAGTTGATAATATAAAACTATATTCAGTTATGGCTACCTGCGGTCATGTGGCGCGTTAGTAATAATCAATTGTGGCCACCAGTGGTCGCAAAAGTATGAAATTTGAAAATAACAAATGACCATCAGCAGCCGCAAGGCAATCATTGTGTTAAGAAGAAAACTTTGTAAAAGATGATTTTTAGAAATTTTAGTTAAAAATTAATCTTTAAAAAATTCTTAAGACTAAAGCCAGTAATAAAATGCTAAAATATAGACTGTAGTATAATTATGAATATCTTGAATTATGAGTGAGTATTCAATAGGTWGGCTGTAGGTATAATAATTAGGGCTCTAATTATTAGACTAATGTTGATGACTATGCATTTATGTATACTGTAGGTATTTAATGTATATATATATATGAAATACATTTATTGCAAATTAAACTGTGTATGAGAATAAGTTTGAATAAAAATGTTTTATGTATTAGGTACATTATTGACTATATAAAACAATTGTACCTACATAATTAATTGATATTATGAAATCTTACTATATTACAATCCATCAGTAACTACCATTTCTCCACTTACTCAAATATTTTATGAAATTGCTTTATCTTTATGCAAAAATCTATTATAAAGATAAAAATATAAATTTAAATTTACCATTAATTAAATTAAACCAGATTTAGAACTTTAATGATAAATCATTTATTGTGTGGCATATTAATGTATGTTTTTGTCAGAGTCCAGAGTAATATTTATCTCATATTTATAGCAGGCTACTTTTTTATGAATATATATGTTACATATTTGTATTATTGTTTTATTTATTTTACATTTTAAAGAGTTGAGTTTTGTGAGTAAATTTCCCAAAGATTAATGTTGCAAATTGTTTGTAGGTTCTTGCAATTTTCTAATAATATGTGCGTTTATATTTAGTTTTTAACTGGTGGGCCTGAAAAAATAATTAAGCACTTATTTTTGTCAAAAATCATATAGATTATTCATTCTACTTAGATAATATCTTAAAAATAAATACCTAGTTAATTATAAATTAATTAAAGTTGTCTTTTGAGATTTAGATACAGTTAAACTTCTATTAGACAGAAACCCTGATAATAGTAACAATTTTTTTGGTCATAATCAGGGCTCATAAGTTCTTGCCCTAAAAATGACTAAATAAGCATGCACTAAAAACTGGCAGAATATGCCTTATAACAGTGGTTCTTAAGCTTTTTTGGTTCAAGGCACATAATTATACATCACAAATTTTCGCGGAACACTCAACACAAATGTAATAAAATAAATTACTGTTTTCAATATTTTTACCAGCATAATTACAAATATCAGAAACTTCTAGCAGCACACCGGTTGAGAACCACTGCCTTACAAGATATAATACAAATTTAACCTATAAAACCCTGTGCGCCATACAATAATAAATATAAACTAATAAAATTCTAAGATTTTTTAAACATGTTTGGAAAAGCAAATAAGAATGAATTCAAGTATTTGATTTAATGACCAATTTTTTTTTTTTTAACTTACATGAAAAATGATTTTGGTGAATTTACATTAATTATATGCGCTAATAACTCTAAAAAATCAACTATATTCCAAATATGCCAATAAACCCAAAACAATAAAACATACAATATTAAACTTTAAATTTGTATTATCATTGTCATGAAGTGGTTTTTATCTCACTTAGCATGTTTTCTGATGTAGTCAAAAAACAAGCAAATGCATGAACTCTTACGAGTCCTTAGTCATCATGAATGTCTAGTCGAAAACTCCATTCAGACAGAACAATTGGACGGTCTTAAGCGTTTTTGTCTTAGCGAGGTTTTACTGAATTAGATTGACTTTTACAAATCATGTTTATCTAACTCTGTACCTACATATAAATTATAGCCACTGTCTATATTCTATTACATCTATGGATTCGCAAATAGAATGTAACATTACTAATTATTATGTAGACTGGAATTTTATATAAAATTTGTTAATATAATGTAACCAACCTCACATGCGATGAAAAGGATTCTAGACAGTTTTAGTTGTATTTTTGAATATTTTACAATTTAAAAAAACATTAATTCTTGTAATGCATAATTTAAATAAAATAAAATATTTTTTTTGTTTTTTTGAATTTTGTACAACCTAAAATTACACTGAATWGCCTGAATATTAAGTTACTACTCTAGTAACAATTTAAATTATTAATTTATCTAATCTACTTGTAGTATCTCATATTTATACTAATGATACAACCCAAGTAAAAAGTATTAAATTAAAACCAAAGAATTTCAAAAAAAATTGCTTTTTACTAATCAATTTTGATATGAGTTAAAAGAATATAAAAAACCAGTACTTATTTTTATTTTTGTATACAATATTTTACATTTATTCAATTTTGATGTGTTATCAATTATTCATAATAAATCACAATTATATAATGAATTATGAAATATAATATAATAAAATAAATTTATAATTATTATCTAAATTATACAAGTTATATATTTTATGACTATCGCGTATTAAATAAATATTGGTAAAGTCTAAAAAAGAACTAATTCTCTAGCATGTTGACTTTTCATAAAAATTAAACTTAGCTATTGATTTTTTTTTATTTATATAATAGCTACCTATATGTAACTATACTACTGTTACAGGTAGTTATTACTTATATACATAAATGTATTTATCTAAATTGCATTTGAGTAGTTATTATTGTGTATGGCACTTATTTGTTATTTACAAATTAAAATATGAATTATAGTAATTTAAAATTTTTATAATGTATAGACAACTATATGTACATAAATCTATTAAAAGCTCAATCCAAGCATTGTCCATGATTATAATATTTTATTTACATTTGTTTTAAAATTAAAAAAATTACACAATTCAATATAATTTCATTAAAACTCAATATTCAA